ACGTTTTTTGTGGACTTTTATGGACCTTTCTGTCTCGGTCAGCATAGACCTCCATTATTTGAATGTCAGCAGACAGCAAGAAGCCTCCCAGATCTCCAGATGCATTTGAGATATCAAAAAAGTACTCCAGAGTGTTGTTCAGCATGGGGGTGAGTAGAAAATGAAGGCTAATCATGTTTTGGGTGTACTATTCCTTTAACCATGGATTTATGGTGACCTTGTAGTCTCCACATAATCTCACACTGTCATCCTTCTTAGGTATACACACTATTGGGGCAGCCCACTCACTGTAATTAGTGGGTAAAATAACTCCTTCTGCCTCCAATTTAGTCAGTTCCCTTTCCACAGCTTCTCTTAATGCGTAAGGAACATTTCTGGGTTTATGGAACTTGGGCACCGCTTCTGGAGCAACGTGTAGCTTAGCTTTAATACCCTTTAATTTGCCTAGCTCAGGGTTGAACACTGATGCATACTGAGCACAAACATCTTCCACTGTTTCTGGAGCCACTCTATTAACCTGTGACCAGTCTAGCTTCAACTGGCTAATCCAGTCTCTACCCATCAAAGCAGAACCTCTTCCTTTTACTACAAGTAGTTCTAGTTTTTTTGTTGTTTCTTGGCACTTTACTTTGGCCACAAATTTACCCATCAGCTGTAATGACTCTTGGCTGTACGTCTTAAGTACGCAATTTGCTGGACTAAGTTTGACTGATTTAAATCTGCGCTTATACAAATTTTCAGATATTACTGACACTGCAGCACCAGTGTCTAATTCCATCTTCACTCTGGAACCATTTACACTGACATACACATAATAAGGTTTTACAACGTCACCATTACCTGTGTTCATTTCAAACAGACCAAAATCAGGACTGTCTAATGTCAGATCTGGAACAGTGTCAAAATTCGGGGCAGCTTCCATCCCGCACCGAACCACTTCCTCACTGGCTGCTCCATCTTCTCTGACTTGCTGTGACAGAAATTGGGTGTCGCCTGGATCCCCCTTAAGCTCGTGCCTATTGCCTGGCTCTGCATGCTGAGGCGCACCATGCTGTGGACCGGGCCAGCTGCCGACATCCTGCTGCTGGAGAGCGCTGGCATCCTGACAGGGTTGCTGCTTGAGAGCGCTGGATCCCCTCTTCTCCATATCCAGATGCATGGTTCCCCTGGTCGTGCTCGAACGGCCTCCTTCTTTGCGTGTGCGACAGGCTCTGGCTATGTGTCCTTTTTTTTTACACTCATGGCACTCGCTGTCTTTAAACCTGCAGTCATTCGGGTTGTGATTTTTTCCACCGCAACGATAACAGGGTTTCCCGGCAGCTGCATTTTTCTCAGCTTCGTGGTATTTTGCTTTAGCTTTCTTTTCCACTACATGAGCCTTGAAAGCTTTCTGTGAAAATTGCTGTGCGCTGTCCTTAGTTACCTCAAAAGAGAGTGCCATTTCTACAGCCAGTGGCAGGGTCAAGTCTTTAGTGTGCGCGGTACTGAGCAGTCGATCTCTTAATTCACTACTCTTTACGCCACAGACGAATCTATCCCGCAGCGCTTCATCTAAGAAAGCCCCAAATTTACATGTAGCTGCTAACTTTCGTAAACTAGCAACGTACTCACTGATGGTTCCGTTATCCTTTTGGTTTCTTCTGTGAAACTTGCACCTTTCTGCAATAAAGTTAGTCTTTGGTACGTAGTGCTTCTGCAGCAATTCTACCAACTCTTCGTAGCTTTTCTCTGACGGTTTATCAGGCGCACACAGATCCATCAGCAAGCTATGGGATCTTTTCCCCACCACCGTGAGAAACACCGACTTAGTTTTCTCCTCTTTAGTGTCCAGGTCATTTGCAGCAAAATACTGCCCGAGACGCTCGCGGTAGTTGTCGAAACTTTCCTCACTTTCCTCGAAGTGATAATCTTCTGGCTTTCCAAACGCCATCCTTTTAGCTCCGGTTCTGCAGTTCCTTTTCACCCAAAACGCTCAGCTTTCTGTCCCGTGTTGCCTCTATGGAACCACGCCGTCTGCGAACTCTGTGCCTTCCAACTTGAACAATCCCATCCTCGTCGCCAAAATTCTGTTGTGTATGATACACCGGGTCAAAATGAAAAGAAATATTCAAGTAGATAACTGGAAGTTAGCACATAGCAACATTTATTATCAACAGGGAACTTTCTTCTTCTTCTAAGGCACAGCTCACCACTCTCTAGCGCACTGTCAGAGTGCCCCCACTGGCGAACTGTTATATTTACCTTAACTTTAGATTCACAATAACAAACAGCCTCCAACACACACAGGAGCCTACTTAAACCAAAAGTGTCTTAACACATCAAAATCGGCGGTTCATTAATTTCGGTGTCTGGAACACCACACTGATGAACACTACGTTTGCACTGCGCAGAAAGCACATTATTGTGGACAACCCGTCACAACCTGTGAGTGAAGTCCTGGAAAATTGGCCTGCTCTTTGAATGGAGTCACAAGTAATTTGAAGTTATTTACATATTATATCTGGTTTGCTTAATTGGGGGCCTAGGAGCAAAGCTGGGAATGCACTCACTGTGTTTTTATGTACAGTGGGGCAAAAAAGTATTTAGTCAGCCACCAATAGTGCAAGTTCTCCCACTTTAAAAGATGAGAGAGGCCGGTTATTTTCATCATAGATATACCTCAACTATGAGAGACAAAATGAGAAAAAAAAAATCCAGAAAATCACATTGTCTGATTTTTTAAGAATTTATTTGCAAAATATGGTGGAAAATAAGTATTTGGTCAGTTACAAACAAGCAAGATTCCTGGCTCTCAAAGACCAGTAACTTCTTCTGTAAGAGGCTCCTCTGTCCTCCACTCGTTACCTTCATTAATGGCACCTGTTTGAACCCGTTATCAGTATAAAAGACACCTGTCCACAACCTCAAACAGTCACACTCTAAACTCCACCATGGCCAAAACTAGAGAGCTGTCAAAGGACACCCGAAACAAAATTATAGACCTGCACCAGGCTGGGAAGTCTGAATCTGCAATAGGTAAACAGCTTGGTGTGAAGAAATCAACTGTGGGATCAATTATTAGAAAATAGAAAACATACAAGACCACTGATAATCTTCCTCGATCTGGGGCTCCACGCAAGATCTCACCCCGTGGGGTCAAAATGATCACAAGAACGGTGAGTAAAAAACCCAGAACCACACGGGGGGACCTAGTGAATGACCTGCAGAGAGCTGGGACCAAAGTAACAAAGGCTACCATCAGTAACACACTACGCCGCCAGGGACTCAAATCCTGCAGTGCCAGACGTGTCCCCCTGCTTAAGCCAGTACATGTCAAGGCCCGTCTCAAGTTTGCTAGAGAGCATTTGGATGATCCAGACGATGACTGGAAGAATATCATATGGTCAGATGAAACCAAAATAGAACTTTTTGGTAAAGACTCTACTCGTCGTGTTTGGAGGAGAGAGAATGCTGAGTTGCATCCAAAGAACACCATACCTACAGTGAAGCATGGGGGTGGAAACATCATGCTTTAGGTGGGAGAACTTGCACTATTGGTGGCTGACTAAATACTTTTTTGCCCCACTGTATTCTACTTCTTCTTATTATTCATCTCTTCACTGCACTTGAAGTCTGTGGTAATTCATATGACCGTATAGTTAGATAACCGTAAGTTGCACTCTAATGGGGGGCTACCTTAGCTATCACATTTTCACCAATCATATGACTGACCCCACTGATGGGTCAGTCATATGATTAATTTCACCAAATTGCCTTTTTGCCACTGAAGGGCTTTAGTGCCCCAATAGGTAAAATTTGGCTTTTCACCCATGCACTATCCTTTTAACTGAGTATCCAATCTTAAAGGTTGTATCAGCGATTACAGGCCCAAAAATAATCACATTGATCTAATCTTCCTCACGATCCGCTAGCTGCCCTATAAGCAGGCCATCAAAAAAAAAACTTCTCTATAGTCAGCCTAGGCTCCCAGATCTGTACACAAAAACAATTGGTGCTACCAACAGCTCAAAACCAAAATAAATAGTGTTCCAACCAATCACCGACAGGGAGTGGGTGTTTTGTGGTTTAGCGCTCATATGCATGGCTGCACGCAAAGTCTGAACTGAAGGAGGGCAGCGTTTTTTTTCCATGATGCACTACAAGCTAGCTTGGTTTGTTTGCGATCTCGCTTCAAACACCCAACAGAAGTGACGTCACCCACAATCGCTGATACAACCCTTAAAAAACGGGACACTGTTGGGATTGTTGACCCCCTATTTTTGCCATAATGGATTGAAAGTGAAACATGTTTCAGCATTTGCATAATGTTTCTGTTGTTAAAGCAACACTAAAGTTTTTTCTAACTTAAAATAATGTTTCCAAAACAATTTCAGTGCTTCATCAACTCATAACAGGGTGAACGGCACTTCTGCATTCGCTTCGCGGGCCTCTATCGGCTATAACCGCACTATGTAAATTTACCAGATCGGGTAGCGGATCTGTAGTTCGATGGAATGAGACGTAAGAAACTACTAATTTGATTATTTGCTTCGATGTTGCAATACATCATACTTTCATAAAATCATGCAACATACTCTACCCTATCTGTGGACATTGTTATTTGCAAAGTAGGTGCTGGATAAACAAATAAAAGTGCTTTAATGTTGCTTTAAGGAACAGACTTATCCTCACTAAAGATACCTGTAGCAGTTACCGTCATCAGAATCGGACATGCTCTACAGCCAATAATATTTAGCAGTGTAGCCACCCCTCAGGAAGTGGTCTAAAACACACACCCAGTTGTGAGGAAGTGCAACGATTTTAGCATAGTTTGACCTATGGGTAGTGATGCCATGCTGCAGCAATATATAACTTAATGACATTGTGACTAATTTTCTTTTTGCATTTTCAGATTTGTGCAGAATTCCATCGCATAACAAGTATAAATTTAAAGAGTACATTTTATCCTGCATTTGATAAGTACATGCCACGGCTAATGACGATGTACCGTGAGAAAGCGGCCCGCACTGGCAAAACTTCTGAATTGCTAAGAAACATCTTCAGGACCTATGATCTCCTTGTATGTAACATTTCCTACCTCATGACAATTTGTACTATAGTATTATTTAATATATGCATATGATTAATATTCTGCTTATTCTGCAATTCTGTCTTCCCATTACCCACAATCCCTCTGTCTTCTAGAAAGACGTCGATGTTAACAGCAGACACACAATTACTCTGCAGGCACTTCCCATCTTCCTGCGTGAAGATGCTGCTGGATTTTTTAAGACCTGGAATGTAAGTTTATGATTCAACTGTGTGTACTCTTTCACTCTTTTTTCTTAGTTTGTGTTCTCTATATATATATATATATATATTTTTTTCTATTTAACCCTCTGTTACTGCCAAAAGACAACAACCACAACCTTCTTCCTAGCCACCAGAAAAGCTATTAAATCATACTGTACTACAGTAATTCTCCAAGAATGTCATATTTGGAAATTTTACCTGAACTTTTCATTCACTGGTATTTCATATTAAATACACATGTAGTGTTTTTCATTGACTGCTCTACTCATTAACTAATTACTGTCATGTTCGTTAGGCAGAAGACATTGACCTGCCAGACCTCTCGGATACAACTGTAGCTGTTCTCACTGTCTCGAATGATACAGTCTCTCTTGTGAAGTTTGGTCCTGCAACACATTCTTTTTTTTTTTTTTTTTTTTTTTACAGTGTCCTGTCTGGCATTGTGACAATAAGAATAATTGTCTTGATGCCAAAAGGAGCCCAACAGATTTTACTTTCACAAGTGTAGCGGTATGGCAATTGCCATACCGCTCCACTTGTTTCATGCATATAAATTGCTTTATTATAATTATGCAGGGAGTTTTACAGTTTATATCAGGCCTCCCCAAACTCAGTCCTCGAGGGCCGCTGTCCTGCTGTAATGGTTTCTGCACTGATTCTGGCCTGATCACTGAGTCCACGCACCTGCTCTGCTCCACTCATCTGCAATCAGCTCTGACTGGAGTCACCTGCTTCCAGCACTTTAAAAACCCCATCAGATCTGTCCTCTGTGCCAGCTTATCTCAAGCCAACCAGCTACGAATAATCCAGCATCAAAGGAAGAACCTGACCGCCTATCTGTTTCCGACCCGATCTGCCCCCTGACTCCGAGCCTGCCCGAACCCTGTTTGATTCTGCCTGCCTGTCTTTTGTGGTTATTTTTGTTCACTGAACTATTTATCACTCAGATCAGATCCACCCTCATTTGAGTAACATGTGATGAACAGAGACCATTTCATTGGTTGGTAATTCATAACTCTGCTGATAGTCATAGTCCAAATTAGTAAATAAATGGAGGCTATTGGATTTTAACAGCTAATCCAGTCATCCAACCTTTTTTGTAAAAGTAGTGGTGGGAAAGTATTAAACTATTCACCCTATTTAAATAAATGGAGATCCATGGATTTCACTCAGTCAGCACTTTATTTATTACATCTTTGCAAAGAGTGAACAGTTTATCCTACAGCCCTTACGGCACAGGATTCTGCCCCGCTCTGCCTGAGCAACATTTGTTCCCCCTTACTTACAACAATGGAAAGTAGTCAGAGTCAAAACAAATTACAGACACTGTGTTTAACAGTAACAAGTTATGAATAAACCTTGAGAAAGAATCTGGCTTGTTTTGGAAAGAAGCTATGTCTGGTCTACAAACACCCTCATGCAGAGAAATGTGTGGCCTTGCAGGTTAAACAGACCTAGTGAAAACTTTTATAGTAGGGAATAGGATAAATTAATATATGAAAAAAGAGAAATCAAAATTTTCTGACAACACTAAGAACCCTGATGAATAGTCAAATTACAGTTATCTTCATTCAACTAAAAATTATTAATTGGTTTTACCCTTAATTTGAATGACCTATTAATTAGCAATAACTTCTTCCTTGGTATTTAATATATTCATAAACTTGTGGTTAAATTGCACAACATAGGTCTGACTTTATTTCATAAATAAAAACAACACAAAAGTGACCTCTGCACTTAAATTAGTCCACATAAAGCCAGATATAAAAATTAATACATACAGCACATTTAACAATAAAAAAAAAAATATTACAGTTTTTAATATGGAATACAATTATATAACAACTATAGAAAAAATAAACTATCAAACAGTTTTAACATCTGCGTAGACCATCTCTTCCTGCGCTGGTTTTAGATTCCCCCTTCTTGCTTTCTTTGCCTTGTTCATGTTGAACTTTGGTGCTGAATAAACCAAAGTGTCCTCTTCCCTCTAAAATAAAATGAAATTATATGCTAATCTTAATAAAAGAGAAAAGTAAAATATTTTCAACCTTACCTGCTGACTTTTGTTGTCACCAATGCCTGGGACATGATCTATTTACAGAGGGAAAAAACGACATATTAAAGTCTCAAACCAAAAAATTATGATTTGGACAAGTAAGAATATTGCATTACCTTTGCAACAGCAACATGTTTCCTTCTTAATTTTGTAAATAAGACAAGATATGACAGCAAGACTTATCCCCAAAGCGGAGATTAATGAAGAAAGAACTATATTGGACAAATCTTCAACATTTGCAGCTAGAGAAAAAAAAAATAAAAATCAGAAAAGTTTATTTTATAAATTATAGTTCACTAACCTTTCAATCATAATTGTTGTTTGCAAAAATATGTTGAACCCTTCATTTTTGCTCCATTTCCAAATAATATCTGACCACATGCAGCCACAGCACAGTAAAAGGTCCCAGCATCAGAGATATCAGAAAAGTTGTAGAAACATGTCTGTGCAGAGGGAACCCCAGGACTCCTCTCACATTCAGCTGGACTCATTCCTTGTAGATAAAGAAAGTTAGGATGAGAATCATCTGATCCAGCTCTGAACCAGTACACCCTGTTATCAGCTGGACATGTTGACCACTCTGATTTAGAGAGAACCGAACACTGTAAAGTCCCTGGGTTTTCTGGATGAACTGTTGCAGATGGCTGCTTCTGAAGCACAACATTTACATCTGATTCCTCTCCTGAAAAACAAAATAAAAAACAAATAGGATTTTCCACTTACAAACGGCTAAAATGTATACTTATTGTATACTTATAAGGAATAATATACTGTTATTAAACATTTAATACTTTTACCTTTAATTTTAACAAATGTTCCACTGATAAATATGAAATCCAGTTGTCTGACTTTAATACAATAGTAAAGTCCAGTGTCATTTTGCTGAGCCTCATTTATATGAAGAAGAAATTGTTCTCCATTTTGTTTTGTCTGAATGCGAGGAATCTTGGAAACATCCATAAAGTTAAATAATACTCCAAGAAATTGAGGCAGGTTTCCAGAAACGAGGCGGATCCAGTATAAATTTTCTTTGTAGTGAGCAGAGGTCTGGCGAGGGCATGTCAGGGTGACATTTTGTCCAGCAGTTACGGTTTTTATCTCAAACCTAAATTCTTCTGAGCAAACTAGAAAGAGACCCCACCAAAAATATTATTAGTTTAGATAACTATATAAGGATTTTAGGCTAAAGTGAAAATCTGATAATTTAGGATTATATATATTATATACCTTTATATATAAATAGAGATATATACTTACATCCCAATTTCAGGAAGAGTAGTGGATAAAACAAATGAAAAAACATTTTTTGTATTGACCTTCAATAGTAGCAACATCCCTCTAAGAAACAAAGATCACTGCCCTCTAATATAACTGCAAAGTGGGAGTAAACCATTTCTGGCAAACTGATTGGCCAATTTTTATTTTAAACTTTCACTGCACTACAACCACAGTGGAAACATGTAAGCCCCTTTTTCCAACGTTGTCACTTGAAACAATGTGCATACACTTTCCAACTTATAACAATGATGTTTAGTGAATGGAATTCCTTATGTATTTTTACCCAATGCTTTTATCCAAAAACATAGTCCCTGTGACAATAAAACATGTCTACAAAGTGTTGTATTGAGCAACTTTATAACAGTGTTTGCACCAAGGTGCTACACATCTCCTATTAGTTTGCTGTTGAGAGGGTAATCTCTTCTGCCATAATCTACTAGAGTTAGAGCATTAGAAAAAAAAAAAAATGTTCTATGAACTCCTCTAGAACCTCTAGAGTTGATTTCACAGAGAATAATTCTTCTTTAAATAAATAACATTATGGACACCAGTAAGTATCCTGTTCAGAATATTGTTTTACAAAACCATGGTGTCTTTAGTCAAATGCTTCATAAGATCTGGTATAAGACAGATGACTACAAAAGGTCCTATGTTGCCTATAGCATCTACATCTAGAACAACTCACTAGAAAAAAAAAACTATAACTTACTGCAATATTTTATTTACCCCCCATTTATTACAGATTTTGATATGATGCGTTGCTTGATTTATACATATATGAAAAACTTTATTAGAAAAGGCTCTGATATTATTCAAAATGCAATGGTCACAAAGATGGGAATAATATATATATATATATATATATATATATATATATATATATATATATATATATATATATATACTTATTAAAACTACATATTAGGTATTAATTTTAATTTTCCTAAGCAACATGTGTTTGTCTTATTTTGTAAAGTATCAGACTGAATTCAACAAGACACAAGATAAACAACTTTGGATTTCCAAGGGAGAGACTGTTCTTAGGGTGTTGTGATTTTATGTTCTTTTCAATTCCCAGCCAGCTGGAAGTTTATATTTCTGATACTTTAAGATGTATATTGCCCTCCCCAGTAGGGTTGGTAAAATATCTTATTTAATGGTTTATTATTTCAGCTGTTATATACTGTTTATGAACACACGCCCTACTACCTGTGTGTTAGAACAATAAATGAAAGAGTGATTCGAGCTCTAATCATGGTCAAACATTTAATTCTGCACATACATAGAATAAACTCACCACAAATTCTGTTCAAAATATAAGAGTTTATTAACAAAAATCATGCAGCTCCAAGTCAAACATATTTCAGTTTAACACTATCAAGTAGGAATAGTGAAACTCAACTAAACTAAACTATGTACAAAGAGGAAGGGGAAACAAGGTTGGAAACCATATTGCAATTAAAGATGGATCTTGTGTTTGAAACCAAAGTTTATCTGGAAGAATTTGGGATATGATCAAATTAGCTTTTCACTAATTTAAAGAAATTAGAATGTTTTCAGACCAATTCACAATGAAAAATCTATGAGGTGAAAAAAACATTATTTGGCCAAATAATGTTTTATTTATTTTATTTGCTTAATCAAGAACCAATAACCCTTAGTCAAATGATTCTTTACCCTCTTTGAAATAGCTAGCAGGGAAAAGACATCCGTATTCCCCTAAATGACTAATTCTTGGTAATGGAAATGTAAAGAGTATATGGGGAACACATGAAGACTAATGTTATATCAGTGTTTAAACTCAACACATATTCCTGTAGCATAGCGTAGCATGCAGTCCATTTTGTTAGCATTGTCTTTACTCAACAGTAAACGCATGTTGTTTGTTCTGCCCCTAATCATGGCAGACCTGCAAACCTTTTTTTCCATGTCCATTGGAGGGCTTGAGGCCCCGTTCACATGAAGCCGAACCCTGGCCTAAACGCACAAATTTTTCACCAAACCAGCCTCTCATCCATACGAAGCCGGGGTTTCGGGGGTCAGTAAACGATCTTTTTTTTATTCAGCCTTCAGAGTGGGAAGATTTTGAAACGCCGTTTTCGTGTTTCCATCTTTAAGCTCTAACTGCATTTTTTTTTCACACGCATGCGTCTCAGCGTCGCCTCTAAACACGCATGCGCGACACAGTATCACAACAACAATGGCGCCGTACTGTGTTGAATGGTTGCTGCTAATGCTACTCACCCTGCTGTCGGGCTTACAACAGAATCTTCTTCTTCTGGAATAACTCCAGGAAGAACAGAGCAATATAGACGACATAGTTCAGCACCTGAATTTGACTTAACCACGAAAATGGACTCGCAGGGCAACCATGTATAAATATTAGTGCGCATGCCCAACATTTCGTCGCCTATTTTTGTTTTGGCACGACAGCGCCACTTACAGGCCTGGCATACATTTTGCAGCGTTTTCATGCATTCGTGTGGACGATCACATTTATTTTACGTCTCCGTCTTTACGACAAACGTTCTGGAAAATATTAGCGTTTCGTGTTCGTTTTGACTTCGTGTGGACGGGGCCTGAGTTTCATTGAGCTGCAGCTCAGCAGTCAGGGAAGCAACAACCAGGGGTTTCTTTGTCTCAGTCTCACACAGCAGGGGTCCTCTTTTTTCTCAGTCATTCATCAAGACAGGGTAGGCCTTCTCTCCAGTCTGGCTCTATAAGTTCTGAAACTCAAGAGAAATGTATTGCAAAAGGTCTGTTTTGCAGTAGTTTGGTTTTGAAAGGTTACCACAATGACACATCCTTGATGATTCTGGAGATTTGGGTCGCCTTGGTCCCGCATCTCCACTGTGGTGGAGAACAGGCCAAAGCCCCAGCTTCATGGGCAAGGGAGAGGAGGCACAGAGCGCAAGAGGCAAAGAGAGGAAGAATGAGAGGAAGAAATGTTCTGTGGTTTTGTCTGTCCTCACACGGGGATGGGGGGTGGGGGGTTGTTCACACCTCTGTGGGCTGCCATGTGACTTGCCTGTGGAGGTCTTGGCTGGAATTGGGGGGGCTGCAAAAGTCCCCAAGCTGTTATTCACAAAAGCTATACAGGTGCTGGTCATAAAATTAGAATATCATGAAAAAGTAGATTGATTTCAGTAATTCCATTTAAAAAGTGAAACTTGTATATTATATTCATACATTACATACAAACTCATATATTTCAGATGTTTATTTTGTTTAATTTTGATGATTACAAATGACAACAAATGAAAATCTCAAATTCATCATATCAGAAAATTAGAATATTACTGAAGACCAATAAAAACAAAGGATTTATAGAAATTTTGGCCAACTGAAAAGTATGAACATGAAAAGTATGAGCATGTACAGCACTCAGTATTTAGTTGGGCCTCCTTTGGCCTGTATTACTGCAGCAATGCGGCGTGGCATGGAGTCGATCAGTCTGTGGCACTGCTCAGGTGTTATGATAGCCCAGGTTGCTCTAATAGTGGCTTTTAGCTCTTCTGAATTGTTGGGTCTGGTGTATTGCATCTTCTTCTTCACAATACCCCATAGATTTTCTATGGGGTTAAGGTCAGGAGAGTTTGCTGGCCAATTAAGAACAGGGATACCATGGTCCTTCAACCAGGTACTGGTAGCTTTGGCACTGTGTGCAGGTGCCAAGTCCTGTTGGAAAATGAAATCTGCATCTCCAAAAAGTTGGTCAGCTGCAGGAAGCATGAAGTGCTCTAAAACTTCCTGGTATGTGGCTGCGTTGACCCTGGACCTCAGAAAACACAATGGACCAACACCAGCAGATGACATGGCACCCCAAACCATCACTGACTGTGGAAACTTTACACTGGACTTCAAGCAACGTGGATGAAGTGCCTCTCTTCTTTTCCTCCAGACTCTGGGACCTTGATTTCCAAAGGAAATGCAAAATTTACTTTCATCAGAGAACATGACTTTGGACCACTCACCAGCAGTCCAGTCCTGTTTCTCTTTAGCCCAGGCAAGACGCTTCTGACGCTGTCTGTGGTTCAAGAGTGGCTTGACACAAGGAATGCGACAGCAGAAACCCATGTCTTTCATACGTCTGTGTGTGGTGGTTCTTGAAGCACTCACTCCAGCTGCAGTCCACTCTTTGTGAATCTCCCCCACATTTTTGAATGGGTTTTGTTTCACAATCCTCTCCAGGGTGCGGTTATCTCTCTTGCTTGTACACTTTTTTCGACCACATCTTTTCCTTCCCTTCGCCTCTCTATTAATGTGCTTGGACACTGAGCTCTGTGAACAGCCAGCCTCTTTAGCGATGACCTTTTGTGTCTTGCCCTCCTTGTGCAAGGTGTCGATGGTCGTCTTTTGGACAACTGTCAAGTCAGCAGTCTTCCCCATGATTGTGTAGCCTATAGAACTAGACTGAAAGACCATTTAAAGGCTTTTGCAGGTGGTTTGAGTTAATTAGCTGATTAGAGTGTGGCACCAGGGGCCATCAATTTTGAACCTTTTCACAATATTCTAATTTTCTGATATGATGAATTTGAGATTTTCATTTGTTGTCATTTGTAATCATCAAAATTAAACAAAATAAACATCTGAAATATATGAGTTTGTATGTAATGTATGAATATAATATACAAGTTTCACTTTTTAAATGGAATTACTGAAATCAATCTACTTTTTCATGATATTCTAATTTTATGACCAGCACCTGTATGTTTCCCACTGGTCATCATGTCAAGATGAAATATGGACACTGGTTCCCAATGTCCAAAGACCATGATCATAGCATATGGCACAACAAGGTACAGAAACACAAAAAGGTCCGGATCCAAAAAAACTGAGTTGTGCAGAAGGTCTGAGGAGGAGGCTAAAATCTGGAGTCACGGCACAGAGAGAGGGGTCAGACACATGGAGGGGTCAAGCCAAGGCGTTGGTCAGGAGACATAGACATGGTAAATATCCAGAGATCAAAAGGCTTTGTAAGGTTCAGCATGTAAAGGCAACTCCAAAGCAGGGTGTTATAAAATAAACAGACCCAAAATTCAGGGTCAGAAGGAACAATAGATATATTTACTAGCTGAGAGCTTTCAATATTCAAGCACGGGCAACAAGTTTGAATCACACAGCATACGAAGCTTGGTCTCAACCTCCTGGTTTGCCTTCTCTGTTTGACTATTTGTTTGAGGGCGGAAACAAGAGGACAAGCTGAAAGTGATTCCCCACATAGAGTAGAATTCCCTCCAAAAATTAGAGATAAATTAAGGACCTCGATCTGACACAGAGCCAGCAGGGAGATCATGGAGACCTCCCTGATCATGATCATGTCCCATCTCCTTAGCAGATGGGAGTTTCCTTAAGTGAATGAGGTGGACCATCTTAGATAACCTATCATTTAGGGTTATCAAGATAGATTAAGATAAATTGCCCAATCATGTCATGTAGGATGTGATTAACTATTAAAGTCATCATCCAGTGATCAAAAGGTTTTTAAGGTCCAGCAAGCACAAGTGAACTGTGAGGCAGAAATGGTAAGAATCAGGTAATTATGTAGAGAAGGAACAATGGATATTTACTAACTGAGAGCTTTCAATAATCTAGGACTCTCAACAAGTTTTAGGTCTTTTTATAAAGGCTGGGAGACAGGTGGAAGGGAAGACTGTTGATGAGGTTAGGCTTGAGTGGTGCAAGTGGAAAGAATTGCACCACTCAAAGCAGGAGACATAGAGGAATGTAAACAGCAACTAGTTGACAACGTATAACATCTCTGTATTACATCACTTACCTTAGTATTGAAAGTAGTAGCAATATTTTTTCTACTCAACTTCTTAAAGAAAAACAATTGAAAACTAACTTCAGCCCTGTCCACTTGTTTGGACTTGTTTTCTCATGTAAACTGTATGCTGTGCCACAACCATAACCCAAACATTATTATTTTCCTTTCCAGAGGACAGTGAACCATCAGCAGGTCATTCCTCAGATGAGAGTTATTGCAAATTGTGGAGATAGGTAATCGTAACTCCATAATTTACGGCACTAAAAATATTTTTTGTCTTTAAAGAAACCCTAGAATGGCAACATCCAGTGTTACATAATTTTATTTTAAGAAGCAGACCAAAAACCTGTGGGTAAAAATGAGAATGATACATTCTCTTCCTTTTTATATAAACTGACTATAAAGTTGTGAAACCGTGCTGTCAATAGTTCCCTTTTTTCGTTTATTCTAAATGTATTTTTAAGTATAAAAAAAATATTTTTACAACTGACTTTATGGTTTGGAATAGATATGGTTAATAATGTAGAAATAAAAGGCAAAGGTTTTTTTTTTTCTGGTACACACATGATAAGTTTTTTTGTTGTTGTTTTTTTTCAGAAATGTCAAGTAAAGTTCAAATAGTCCAGCAAGACAAGGCATGGTAGGTTTATTCATATAGCACAATTCGTTACAAGGACAATTGTAAGTGCTTTACATGAATTAAACAATAAAATAAAAGCCAAATAAAAGCAAATGAAGATAAAAGCACTATACAAGTGGGTAGTAAAACAAAAACAGTTGGACCACTTTTCAACAATAAAAGGCAGTTCTAAACAAATGGGTTTTTACCTTTCAGCACTTTTAAAGTCTCCTGGAAGTTTTTTTCCAGAAAAGCACAGGAACTAAATGCTTCTTCTCCATGTTTGGTTTTAGTTCTGGGTATAAACAGTAGGCTGTAACTAGAAGACCTGGGTGGTCTGTGAGGTTGTTACATTGACAACAAATGTGTTACTGTATGTGTTTTGGTGTTGATGCCTTGGTTATTTATAGACTAAAAGAAGGATGTTAAAGTATGTTCTGTTATAAACATGGAGCCAGTGTAAGAACTTCAGACCTGGGCTGATGTGCTCTAAAACTTAAAATAATGATACAAACTTCTCACAAACATCTCAGTGGTACAATCTGAAACGATAGCATCCCACCACAGCTACAATTATGGATCCAACAAACTTCATCGCTTCTCCCTCATTGTTTAAAAGCACCTATAGTAATTAAATAAAACATATGAACATTTCTTCACAGATCAATTGCATTAGCTTTGCATAAGGATCAGAAAACGTCTAGTTTCTGCACGTACCATTTGTCTTACATGAAACTGTCTCCTGTTAAGGAAAAATATTATTAAATACTTAAAAGTAATTGATAGATTACATTTTTTATTTCAAACATATTTAGTATATTTCGATCACCTTTGTCCCCTACAACAGGATCAACAAATTACAACATGCAAATATGTGATGAGTTCATCAAGCCATTTCTAGTGAATTTTCCGACAGCCAAAATCGACTTTCCAGTCATACCGCTGGCAATAAATGATGTAATCTACACCATTTTTCTGTGTCTGGTGGGACAGGTGAGTCTAGAAAATTGCAATATATTTGTGTAGATGTAGGTATAACGGTATTTCTTTAGGTGTGAAGGTATCATGATAAACACATTCCCTACAATGCTTAGGGAGTCTTACATGGTAAAACATAGTTATAAAAACCTAGACCTAGATTTTGTAACAAGTCAAAACTACAAGCAGAAAAAAAACAGGGGAAGCATCATTATTTAAGTTTTTTTTTTCCATTTTTTGTGCTCGTGTGTCACAAAACTTAAGCACATGGCTTCAGTGTAGTTGTTTGCCAAAATTATTCATTCTATAAAATTAGATTTTTGCAAATGTTTAAGACATCTCATATTTGTTCTTTTTCTGTACTTTTTGCATCTTTTATGGTGAAGGAAAAAGTTAAATATAACTTTCAGACAGGTTTTTAACATTAGTTGTAAGTCACTCAGCCAATTATTGCATAAAGTGTACTTTTGCATATAACTGTAAACCTTTATTACAAGAGAAATATTTTCTGTCATACTTTTTTTTGTTTTACATGTACTATTATGTCAATAAAATGATCAGTTCTGTAAAATTAAATTAATTAATTAAATGTTAAACGTGGTTACATAAGGATTTAAACTATTATGACAACTAATTTTTTGCTTCTATTAATCAAAACATTTTCATATTTAGATTAATTTCCTTTAAAGTCAGAAACAAAGAAGGGATCTTCAAATGTCAAAAACAGATGGAAAAGTATTGGATTTTCCACCTCTAGGCAGTCAACTTTTCTCAAATCATTGTTTAAATCATGGTTTGATTTATTTGTACAATAAATTCATTCAAATAAAAAAAACAACTATCAAATGTTTTGACATCATTGTACACTGTTTCCTCCATCACTTTAAATTATAATATTCTTGCCTCAAATTATCTTAAAACTTGCTTTTATTGAACAACAGCAACAGAAAGAGAACTTTTAAGTTTCAATAGAGCACTCCATTGAAAGCTGCTGCTGCCTCAGTGCATGCTGGGACAGCTGTCAACCTCAAGACTTTGACAAGTCTGCTCTGATGCATACTCGATAAAGAGGGCGGAGCGAGAACAACATCCAGGGATTTGGTGCATTCTCGGTCTGGAGTTCTCGACAATTGGAACAGTGCTTGGGCTGAGGCTAATGACGTGTCACGAACACATGAGAATGCCAGAGAAAGCATATTGAGAAACGACCTTTGTCTCTGTGCTCCACTTGGCGAATCCAATAATACAAATTCGTTGGGCTTTTCCGCCTTGAAATGGGCATGCACATCCAAGATTTTTTCCCATCTCACCTTTGAATTCAGCAACCGCAGCCAGCTTCATTTAATCGCATCGAGCCTTTGGTTCAGCTCAAGGTCCTGCTCGTTCACAGTGTTTGAGCGCATCAACAGTCGCAGGTAGCCTAATCATTACAAAAACATTCTCTGTAATCATAGTTACATCAGGTATCCTCCAAAATAGAAAAAATCTGAGTATTATGTATCCAAACATGTATACACGTATTTGATGTCCTTAACTAACAGTATCATAAAACACACCATTCTCAAATCCTTCCAGTAGTCTAGGGTGTATCCCATATAGTCAGGACAGAACAGGTCCCATCTACCCTGTCTTCTAGTTTAGAAAATTTGATCAGGTGCATTTGAGAGACCAACTGACCAGATACATTGTTTGATTCAGGTGATATAAAGAGAGAGGTCAGAAACACAAGAGGCAGCAAAAGCAAGGATGGCAGGCACACACATATGTACAGCAGGGGGCAGTAAACACCTATTGTCTGCAACCAGAGAAGAAGAAGAAGAAGAAGAAGTCTACTGATGGTGGTTAGGCTAGCGCTTCGCAGATAACTCACAATCCACTTATTACTGTAAAAATATGTTGAAGTTTTTGGAATATTTAATAACATTGTCAAAGTATTTATATGAACCATCAGAGCAATTGCTTTAAATTTGAAGATCTTTTTTAATTATTTGAACTCTGAATGTATGAAAATTATATTTTCATGGATCTCTCTGCACACGCAAATGTACAGCAGGGGGCGGTAATCACCTGTTGTTTGCAACCAGAGATGAATAAGTGTAAACACAGTGGTTTGGCTAATGTTTAGCAGATCACAAGTGATCTATTTCATAATATAATATTTACAATATGGTGCCATTTTCGGAACATATTGTTACATTGTCAAAGCAAACACGAAGACAAGATTTGGTTGTATGAATGTATTGTTTATTTTTCAACACATAGACACATTTAAATTTACATACATAAACAATACTTTTTCATTATGACAAAAAAAATAAAAAAAAAAAAAAATATATATATATATATATATATAAAACCAAATCAAGATATTCAACACTCATGTAGCATCTTTCATAAACCTGGCACATGCCGTTTTTCAACTGGCATATACCAGGTTTCAACTGACAAATGCACTGTACCAGCTGGTATAGCAGTGATTCCCACCTGCAATAAGCTTGTTCCAAACAGACATATGCAGGTTCCCAACTGACCTTCGCTTATGCCACTTTTGGCTCTAGGTGTTGCTGTAATTGTGTGGGCCTCTGACTCCTTTTTATTTAGTCATTCATTTTAAACTTCTTACTGCTGTTTTGTGTGTTTGGTTTTGTGTTTGTTTTTATGTGTGTGTGTATGTCTGTGTGTATATATCATGTAAAACTGTAACTAGAGCGTGTAACAAAAGTAATTTCCCTCTGGGATTATTAAAGTATTTCTGATTCTGATTCTGATTATGTACAGCACATTGAAAATATTTGTTCTTGTTAAATGTGCTATATATATATATATATATATATATATATATATATATATATATATATATATATATATATATATATATATATATATATATATATATATATATATATATATATATATATAAAGTGGACTGGATTGAACATTTACCAACCAGCAGCCTGTATTAAAATCGTGGTCAATATTGAATTAGTTCAGTTAGATTTTCCTATTCAACTGTAATTACTGCCACAGGTGTGGCTTGTGAAAATGCAGAAATTAATGTTAAACCCTTCTTATGTCAACCTGTGAAGCCAATGAATGAAAATGAAAAATATAAAATAAACTGATACAATAAGATGCCATTACTCAATTTTAGAAAGTCTCATTGAATCTACTAACATCTGCTAAAGATAGGCTCTGTCATGATGGGTTTGGTTCCTAGCCCATATGCAGAAACACTCGGAAACAGGAGAAAAAGTTCAAAGGTTTATTGAATTAACAGGTCAGGGGGTAATCAGATTCAGGACTGGTCACGACTGGTTTCTCTGCAGAGGGGGACAGAATGGTTAGCAGATGTCCTGGTATGTTTGCTGGTTGGATGAGTGCAGGTCTGTACCTGTACAAAGGTTTGAACAGAGTGGCAGAGGAGGGGAACCAGGAGGGTCCAGAGGCTGTGGGCAGGCAGAGAGCTAGGCAGACAGGTATCTTACAGATTGAACTTCCAGGGTTCTCCAGAGGTCAGACAGACTGGTTTCAGACTGAGAAACTCTTCCTGAGTTTCTGGGTTCAGACAGGTTCTTCCTAGGAAGCAGAGAGGACAAAAATTCAATTCAATTCAGTTTATTTATATAGCGCCAAATTCACAACACATGTCATCTCAAGGCACTTTACAGTTCAACCAGATCATACAGTCAAATTGATACAAAGTTTTCTATCTAAGGAAAACCAGTTGATTGCATTGACTCATTGACTCAAATACAATCCCCCACACTAAGCATGCTTGTAGCGACAGTGGAGAGGAAAAACTCCCTTTTAACAGGAAGAAACCTCCAGCAGAACCAGGCTCAGTGTGAGCGGCCATCTGCCGAGGCCGACTGGGGTTCAAGGAGACAGAAGCAGAGATACAAAAAGCAGCTGTAAAAGGCGGCCCCGTCCAGGAAACACACAGCCAGGCAGACGAGCTCCAAGGCAGCTCCCATGCCAGAGGACGAAGAAAGCACATCCACTCAGTCACGGTCAGAGAAACAGGACCACACTGGAAAACAGGCCGATCTCCAACATCTATAAACAAGGGTGTTGATAGAAGCAGCACAGCTGATGTTTCTTTCCAGGATGACGTCACAGCCAAACAGGAACAGACGAGGCAAAGCTACTCTGAGGAAAAGCAGAGAGAGCAGAAGGTTAGAGATTGAACTAACAGATTCTGCAGAATAGGAGAACAGAGAGAGAATGAAGCAGAATGATGAAATGGGGGTTCCTATGTCCTCCAAAAGTCTAAGCCTATAGCAGCATAACTATAGAGATAGCTCAGGATAACCTGAGCCACCCTAACTATAAGCTTTATCAAAAAGGAAAGTTTTAAGCCTAGCCTTAAAAGTAGACAGGGTGTCTGCCTCACGGACTAAAACTGGTAGTTGGTTCCACAGGAGAGGAGCCTGATAACTAAAAGATCTGCCTCCCATTCTACTTTTAGAAATTCTAGGAACCACTAGTAAACCTGCAGATTGCGAAGTGCTCTGTTAGGAACATAAGGAACAATCAGATCTCTGATATAAGATGGAGCTTGGCCATTTAAGGCTTTATATGTGAGAAGGAGGATTTTAAATTCTATTCTTGATTTAACAGGAAGCCACTGAAGAGAAGCCAGGATAGGCGAGATATGATCTCTCTTTTTAATTTTCATTAGAACTCTGGCTGCAGCATTTTGGATCAGCTGAAGGCTTTTAACTACAGTTTGTGGACTTCCTGATAGTAAAGAATTACAATAGTCCAGCCTTGAACTGGTTAAAAACCTTGAACTGGTTAAAAACAGGTTAGATTCTGGTTCAGGTTGCAGGGGAGTCAGAGAATCAGACAGGCAGGTCGGCTAAGGTTTGCTAACCATAACTGGCATAACACTCTGGCGTCGGAGTGTTGCTCTGCCTCTCCTTAAATGCTGGTCTCCTGATGAGCAAACAAGCCGCAGGTGTGGTAGTCAGCTTCAGCTCCAGGAGACCCACAACGCCCTCTGCTGGAGAAAGGTGGACAGACCTCCAGATCCCAAAAGGCTCTGTGTATGCACCACAAAGCTCTATCTCAAAGTTTCTTTTTCCTAAAAAGAGGTCACTTGGGACAAACTCTTTAAAAAACACTTCATAACTTATATGTTTTAAATAACCATGTGACATGACAACAGATTCTGATAGAAATTGTAATCTTACTCAGATCAGAGAAGTTGCTTAGAATGTACGGAAGGTAGCTGCTCACCTCTGGGGTCACCTCTCAGGAAGGGGCCCCGACTAACAGTTTAAAAGGCATTTTATGCATCTCAAGTCTGCAACATCATCACATTTTACATCATACACGTTAGCAGATGAGTAGACATCATGACTCCGGGCTTATCAAACACTTCTTACACTTCTTTCTTAGCTGAAGTACACCGCTCTCTTTTCATTTGCAAATATTTTCCACGTACAGAATGAAGATTATAATTGTATATTCGGACGGAGGAACCGTCCTAACCTGTTAAACTATTGTGGAAATCATTACTTATGACACACAACTGGCAGTCAACACCGAGGAGTAATAAACTCACACATCATAAATGATAGGTATCCCAACACATCACATACTGTATTTATCATGTTTTTCTTTTACTTTTTGATTTACAAAAAAACAGATAATTTTGATAACATGAAATTACTTACAATCTCAGAATGAACCTCACAGAAATTTCAGTTTTTGCATGGACTAATCGTAAATTTGGTTTCTAATAATTGAACCGTAACAAGATACCGTGGATTTAAAAAAGCCTGAAAACAGATGGATATTTTAAGGATTAAATCTGTTGTCCCGTTTAAAGGGAACTCCCTAGTAAAAATTTCTTTTTTTTTTTAAGAAGTGGGATTTAACTTTAAAACCCTGGAAGGTAAAACTGTTAAGAATAAAAGATTATAGGTCTGACTTTGTTTAAAAAATATAAACAATACAAAAGTAACCCTGGCAACCTAATTTAGTCCAAATACAGTAAATCATGATTAAAAAATGTATGCATACTGCACACTTAATGATGAAAAACTATTGTTAAATAAATTTTTTAAATGGGAAACAATAATTATAAAGAAAAGAATATTCTATTACCTATATCCTATAGGTATATAACCCATATACTATCAATTTCTTTTAACATTAGTATATATAACATTTGTGACGACCATCTCCTCCTGCGCTGGATTTAGATTCCTTCTTCTTGCTTTTTCAGTCTTGTTTATGTTGAACTGTGGTGATGAATAAATCAATATGTTCTCTTCCCTCTATAATAAAATGCAATTAAATTACATTTAAAAAATGCTTATCTTCATGAAAAATAGATAAATCAAATAATTCCCTTCCACACCTGCTGACTTTGGTTATCATCAATGCCCAGGACACAATCTATTTATAGAGAGGGAAAAAATACATATTAAAGTCTCAAACCCAATAAATAATTATTTGGACCATTACGATTAAGAATATCGCATGATCTTTGCAACAACCACATGTTTTCTTCTTAATTTTGTTAATGAGACAAGATATGATAGCAAGACTTATCACCAAAGCCGAGATTAATGAAGAAAGAACTATATTGGAGAAATCCTCTATGATGGCACCTAGGAAAAAAAAAATATCTAAGGTTATTTTGTAAATTATAATTCTCTAACCTTTAAATAATATTTGTTGTTTGCAAACATACTCCGGATGCCCGTTATTTTTGCTCCATTTCCAAATAATATCTGACCACATGCAGCCACAGCACAGTAAAAGGTCCCAGCATCAGAGATATCAGAAAAGTTGTAGAAACATGTCTGTGCAGAGGGAACCCCAGGACTCCTCTCACATTCAGCTTGACTCATTCCTTGTAGATAAAGAAAGTTAGGATGAGAATCATCTGATCCAGCTCTGAACCAGTACACCCTGTTATCAGCTGGACATGTTGACCACTCTGATTTAGAGAGAACCGAACACTGTAAAGTCCCTGGATTTTCTGGATGAACTGTTGCAGATGGCTGCTTCTGAAGCACAACATTTACATCTGATTCCTCTCCTGAAAAACAAAATAAAAAAAAAATAGGATTTTACACTTACACAGCAAAAATGTATACTTATTGTATACTTATGAGGAATAATATACTGTTATTAAACATTTAATACTTTTACCTTTAATTTTAACAAATGTTCCACTGATAAATATGAAATCCAGTTGTCTGACTTTAATACAATAGTAAAGTCCAGTGTCATTTTGCTGAGCCTCATTTATATGAAGAAGAAATTGTTCTCCATTTTGTTTTGTCTGAATGCGAGGAATCTTGGAAACATCCATAAAGTTAAATAATACTCCAAGAAATTGAGGCAGGTTTCCAGAAACGAGGCGGATCCAGTATAAATTTTCTTTGTAGTGAGCAGAGGTCTGGCGAGGGCATGTCAGGGTGACATTTTGTCCAGCAGTTACGGTTTTTACCTCAAACTTAAATTCTTCTGAGCAAACTAGAAAAAGACCCCACCAAAAATATTATTAGTTTAGATAACTATATAAAGATTTTAGGCTAAAGTGAAAATCTGATAATTTAGGATTATATATATTATATACCTTTATATATAAATAGAGATATATACTTACATCCCAATTTCAGGAAGAGTAGTGGATAAAACAAATGAAAAAACATTTTTTGTATTGACCTTCAATAGTAGCAACATCCCTCTAAGAAACAAAGATTACTGCCCTCTAATATAACTGCAAAGTGGGAGTAAACCATTTCTGGCAAACTGATTGGCCAATTTTTATTTTAAACTTTCACTGCACTACAACCACAGTGGAAACATGTAACCCCCTTTTTCCAACGTTGTCACTTGAAACAATGTGCATACACTTTCCAACTTATAACAATGATGTTCAGTAAATGGAATTCCTTATGTATTTTTACCCAATGCTTTTATCCAAAAACATAGTCCCTGTGACAATAAAACATGTCTACCAAGTGTTGTATTGAGTAACTTTATAAGTGTTTGCACCAAGGTGCTACACATCTCCTATTGGTCTGTTATCGAGAGGGTAATCTCTTCTGCCATAATTTGCTAGTTACAGCATCAGAAAAAAATCAAAATCTAAAAAACCCTTCTGGGGTTGATTTCACAGAGTTGATTTAAAGAAGAATTCTTCTTTAAATAAATAACATTATGGACACCAGTGAGTATCCTCTTCAGAAGATTGTTTAACAAACCCACGGTGTCTTTAGTCAAATGCTTCATTAGATCTGGTATAAGACAGATGACTACAAAAGGTCCTATGTTACCTATATATATATATATATATATATATATATATATATATATATATATATATATATATATATATATATATATATATATATATATATATACCTATTAAAACTACATATGAGGTATTAATTGTATTAATTCCTCATATGTAGTTTTAATAAGTATAAAATTAACAAGTATTAATTTAAATTTTCCTAAGCAACATCTGTTTGTCTTGTTTTGTAAAGTATCAGACTGAATTCAACAAGATACACTGGTAGATGGTTAATAGATTTATTCACTGAGCTCCGCAGGCAAGGCAGCAAACTGATCAGCAACAGGTGCAGGAATGAGGACAAATCAGGTTATTAGCTGAACTGTCTTTAGGTTTTAGTAGATCAATCAGAAATTATGCCACAAACCTTCTCAAAGTCCCTAGTGATAAAAGGGAACTAGATGTGGGCCCCACAGTAAGTCTCACAGAAAGGCTTGGTCCGGCAGTAATGTCAGTGTAGGATCGCTTTGATAGCAAGTGTAACAATACTCAGTGGAAACTGAAACCTAGGGATATGCAGAGACTCGCTCAGTAAAAGATAAACAACTTTGGATTTCCAAGGGAGAGGCTGCTCTTTTAGGTTGTTGTGATTTTATGTTCTTTTCAATTCCCAGCCAGCTGGGAGTTTATATTTCTGATACTTTAAGATGTTTATTGACCTCCCCGGTAGGGTTTGTAAAATATTTTATTTAATAGGATATTATTTTAGCTGTTATATACTGTTTATCAACCCATGCCCTACTAGCTGTGTGTTAGAACAATAAATGAAAGAGTGATTCGAGCTCTAATCATGGTCAAACATTTAATTCTGCACATACATAGAATAAATCCACCACAGTTTTTGTTCAAAATATAACAGTTTATTAACAAAAATCATTCAGCTTCAAGTCAAACATATTTCAGTTTAACACTCTCAACTAAGAATAGCGAAACTCAACTAATCTAAACTAAACTACTATGTACAAAGAGGAAGGAGAAACAGGGTTGAAAACCATATTGCAGTTTAAGATGGATTTTGTGTATGAAACCAAAGTTTATCTGGAAGAATTTGGGATATGATCAAATTAGCTTTTCACTAATTAAAAGAAATTGGAATGTTTTCAGACCGATTCACAATGCAAATCCATGAGGTGAGTAAACATTATTTGGCCAAATAATGTCTTTTTGAATGATTTGCCAATAACCTTTAGTCAAATGATTCTTTACCCTCTTTGAAATAGCTAGCAATGAATAGACATCAGTATTCCACTAAATGACTCTTGGTCATTCTTGGTAATGGAAATGTTATGAGCATATGAGGAACACATGAACACTAATGTTATATCAGTGTTTAAACTCTTATTGAAATAAAGCTTGTCCAAGCTTCAGCAACAGGTCAACACATATTCCTGTAGCATAGCATAGCATGCAGTCCATTTTGTTAGCGTTGTCTTTACTCAACAGTAAGCATATGTTGCTTGTTCTATCCCTAATCATGCCAGACCTGCAAACCTTTTTTTCCATGTCCATTGGAGGGCTTGAATTTCATCTAGCTGCAGCTCAGCAGTCAGGGAAGCAACAACCAGGGGTTTCCTTGTCTCAGTCTCACATACTGTAGCAGGGGTCATCTTTGTCTCAGTCGTTCATCAAGACAGGGTAGGCCTTCTCTCCAGTCTGGCTCTATAAGTTCTGAAACTCAAGAGAAATGTGTTGCAAAAGGTCTGTTTTGCAGTAGTTTGTTTTTGAAAGGTTACCACAATGACCGATCCTTGGTGATTCTGGAGATTTGGGTCGCCTTGGGCCCGCATCTCCACTGTTGTGGAGAACCAGCCAAAGCCCCAGCTTCATGGGCAAGGGAGAGGAGGCACAGAGCGCAGGAGGCAAAGAGAGGAAGAATGAGAGGAAGAAACGCTTTGTGGTTTTGTCTGTCCTCACATGGGTGGCGGGGGAGGTTGTGTTCACACATCCGTGGGCTGCCATGTGACTTGCCTGTGGAGGCCTTGGCTGAAAGGGGGGGGCTGCAGAAGTCCCCCAGCTGTTATTCACCAAAGCTGCGTGTTTTTTCACTGGTCATCATGTCAACATGAAATATGGACACTGGTTCCTATTCTTCAAAAACCATGATCATGGCATATGGCACAACAAGGTACAGAAACATAAAAAGGTCCGGATCCAAAAAAACTGAATTACTCAGAAGGTCTGAGGAGGAGGCTAAAATCTGGAGTCATGGCACAGAAAGAGGGGTCAGACACATGGAGGGGTCAAGCCAAGGCGTTGGTCAGGAGACATAGACATGGTAAATATCCAGAGATAAAAAGGCTTTGTAAGGTCCCCCCCTTAAAGGTCCAGCTCCCGACATGGATGAAACAATGGTAGAAGTTTCCAAAACCAGGCACTTCTACAACTGTTTGCAATCTGTTGGTGTGGTCCATTGATCAACTGCAGAAACCTTAGAGGGATCCATCATGATTCTTTTTGAGGAGACAATAAGACCAAGGAAGAATGTGAGAGAGGTGTAAAACCCTTCTGGGCTGTTAAGGCCCAGACTGTTAAGGCCACACAGTTTGTTAAGGTACTTCTCAGCTTAACAAACTGATTTCTATGGAGCAGGCGGATGAGAACAAATCTTATATGGCTTTGGGGTGTCTCCAGAAGAATGAACAAAGTAGAATGTCATCAAGATAGATTAAGATGAATTTGCCCAATCATGTCACGTAGGAAGTGATTACCGTATTTTCACGACCATAAGGCGCACCGTACTAAAAGGCGCAGTCTCAGTTATGTGTGCCATTTCTGTATTTAACACACACATAAGGCGCACCGGACTATAGGGCGCATTTTTTATATACAGGTACATGTCCTCTACTACCTTTAAATACCTCTACTGCGTATTTAAAAATACAGCGGGCCCAAAACTGAGTATGACTGTGCTTTATTCATGTATTTATTACAAAGTATTAATCAAACCTGGCAGCTGGCCGTGAGACAGACACATCGCAGATGACACAGCGCTGTGATTACTCCTAAATTAACTTAAAATCCTGAAACCTGCCGACGGAATATTTTCGCTTTTATTGCCGGTATCCTGGTGCATGCAGTTTAAATTATTTAGATGAAAAACACCTGCCAGCCGCCGCGGTGAGGCTGCTGTTGAAGGGATTTCTGCTGTCGGTGCACCGCTGGTATGTGGGGGTCTGAGCGCCTCCGACAGAAATAGATAATCTGGATGAACTGACTGCAATTATTAAGTTTTCAGGTGGACTTTCTTACTTAAAAACATATTAAAACTACTTTATTCCCACTGATCACAGCAAATATAGCTGCAAGATTTAGATTATTTAGATGAAAAAACACCTGCCAGCCACCGCGCTGAAGAGGAGGAGACCCGCCCAGAGGCTGCTGTTGAATTAAGTTTTCAGGTAGAAAAATAGAGCGGGAGCAAAACTGAGTATGTTTGTGCTTTATTCATGTATTTATTACAAAGTATTAATCAAACCCATCAAAGTCATCATCCTCTGTTTCTGAAATAAACAGCTGCGCTAAATCAGACATGCCAATTTCCCCTTCTTCGCTGTCAGTCACTTTCCGTGCAGCTCGGCTCCTCAGAAATAATGCCGGCTTTTGCGAAAGCTTGAACAACAGAGCCAGCAGACACGTTAGTCCAAGCATCTACAATCCATCCGCAAACTGTGGCGTAACTTGCCCGGCGCTGCCTTCCACTTATCGTGAAACTGTGGTCTCCGTCTGTCATCCATCGCTCCCACGCCGCTCGCAGCCTTACTTTGAACGGCCGCTTCACACCGATGTCGAACGTTGAAGTTCCTTTGTCAGACCCCCCGAGATAACGGCGAGCACAGCGTTCATTTGATTCACCTTTTTTTTCACATCGGCTGTGAGATGGGCACGCAGCGTTGGTGATGCGTGGAAAAAACCACCTGGTCTCCTCACATACACCTGCCTTTCATCATCTCCTCATCCATCCAGCCTTTATCATTTGCGTTAGTGTCATCAGAGCACTGTGTCTGTCTCGCTGTCAGCTCCCAGATCAGCTTCTCTGATTGGTTGATGCGGCGCTTCCAGCAGCAAAACTTCAATTTTTCCATCTCGAGCAGCAGCAGCGCGTTGGCGGTGTGTCAGATACTTTAACGCTCCCGAGGCGCTGCGGCTGCTGCTCAAAACGCGCTGCGGGACCTTTTGCTGCACCTATATGCGCGTCAACCATTGACTTTGCATGTAAACTCGCTGCTTCTGCTGCACCTGCTGGGTCCGGTTCACACCGATGTCGAGCGGTTGAACAGCGAGCACAGCGTTAATTTGTTTCCCCATGTTTTTCACATCAGCTGTGAGATGGGCACGCATGGAGTCACATATTAACAGCGATGGTGATGAGTGGAAAAAAAACAC